CTGTAAATGTTAAAAGGAGTTCGGTCTAGACCTGCTCTATTTGAAAAGGGTCCTGAGATAACTTCTGTTATGAATTGGCGCTATACAAATAAATTGAATTGAATTGAATTGAATTGAAACAATCAAAAGGTCATTATTAACTTTAACCAGAGCTGAATAATTGACTGTCGAGCTGAATGTCTGAAAGAGACGACACAACAGAACGTTTTTAAAACTCTAAAACTACAGTTTCTTTTACATTCAGAGTGAAAACATTTGCAAGGCTGCATTTTAAGTATTACTGTATATATTGTATGTATTGTTCTTCTTCTCTGGGGCATTACAGATACCTGTTGGTCACATAAATCATGTGACACTGTTGGTAGGAAGGTGTATTACGTTGTGTGCATCCTTGCGTCCAACTCCTAGAAAATCAAACATTCTGGACTCTTCCTTCTGGAACTTCTAGTTATTATATGCAGCAGACTACGCAAGTCTTACTTTAAAAGTTCCAAAGAATGTGACGTTTATGCTCCCGAGTGCCTTCTCTCTCCGCTTCCCTACAGTGTCAACAGTGTGCAACACTAGCTAACGTTAGCTTATAAATCGTCAAATAGGTTCCCCAGCTAATGTGATCCATGATACTAACTTATGTATTCTGACAAACTGTTGATTTTAGCCAACAATAAATGACGTAGCGGTACAAAGCTAATGATTAGCGATGCAAGTCTGGATCACCCAGCTAGCTAACTGTAGCCTGAGCTACATATGTGATGACTGGATCCTGAATATATTTGACCTGCTGCTGCGTGTTGAAAACCTCTGTATATCCTTTAGCATACAGTCAAGGCCCCAGCCTTGTCAGAGTGTCCTGATCTCTCTAACAATGGTCTTCATCCCACCTCAAGTGTTTGTTCCCAGAAACACCAGAGCCACTTCCCTCCTCACATTGTCTCTGCAGCAGCGGATGTTTTTATTGCACACAAAGATTAGAAAACAGCTCTCGAGAGCTAAAGATTGCCTGTACCTATATGATTACATCAGATCATATTAAAGCTACCGTGAACACTGATCAACAAATATGATGTGAGAGAATAATGAAAGCTCATTAAAGTTACAGTAACAGTGTCTGTATATCATGATCTGGGTGGTGTTACAGGCAGACATATTGAGCTGCCAACAGGAAGCAGTGAAGGCTCCTGTGGGAGGAAACCATTATTAAGAACGGGTCAGGGTTCAGAACTGAGTTGGGGGGGTTGTTCTCCTCGTCCTGCCCCACCCTGTGTGTTTTTTTTCTGTTTCCTGTTTGGACTCACAGCAGCTCTGTGGAAAGGTTTCATTCTTTAAGCAGCTAAAACAATTGAATCAACGTCCTCCATCAAACACAGGATGCACAGATGAGGAAGAGGAGGGACGTTCTTCAGTTCTATGGACGTTGAAATCAACCCAACTTTTCTCTAAATTCAACCAATCGATGTTTCCTTCACATACATTGATCCAAACGTCACCAGACTTCTGAGATTTTATTCTCTGGACAACTTATCTTTGACTTTGATAAATTATACAACAACAAAAAACAAATATTTTTTTTCTGTAATTTAATTGCAAAAAAGCCTAAAAGTTAAAAACTTGGTCCTCAGACCTTCATCAGCTCATTCTGTCTGAAATGCTCCTGAAACATTGTCTTAATAAAGTTATATAAGGTGAGTTTAGGTGATGGACAGTACTGACTGTAGTGAAGTACTGACTATACCTGAGTACTGTGACTGTACCTGGGTACTGTGACTGTACCTGAGTACTGTGTCTGTACCTGGGTACTGTGACTATACCTGAGTACTGTGACTGTACCTGGGTACTTTAACTGTACCTGAGTACTGTGTCTGTACCTGGGTACTGTGACTATACCTGAGTACTGTGTCTGTACCTGGGTACTGTGACTGTACCTGAGTACTGTGTCTGTACCTGTAAATGGTACCGTTATTAGGAGCATTTGGAACTCGTAATACCCGTTGTACTGTCAGTATAAACAGGCGAATACTTTATATTATCACAGTCTAGACCTCTATCTGAACTCCGATCCCCATTCCTCTGTCCTTTCTCAGACCCAGTGGGTCCGGCTCTTCTGGATGTTGAGCTGGACCAAGTTCAGACTCAGAACCAGTCTGTGGTCCACAGCGGGTTTTCAGGTCTGCGGGTGTCCTGGTCTCGTTCTGCCGGTCACGTGGACTGGTACGATGTGACTCTGGAGGACAGCAGCTCCGGGTCCACCCGCAGAACCAGAATAATGGGCTCTGCAGCCCCCCAGTCTGGCTTCAGCTCCCTGGTCCCGGGAACCCGGTACAACATCAGCGTGTTGGCTACAGCTGGGAACCAGACCGCTCCACCTGTCCACACCTCAGCTGCTACAGGTATGTAGTCCTCTTCACCACAACCAGACCAGGACCCCTCAATGAGGTCCTGTGTTCATGTCCCACTGTAACCATGGAAACCACCGTTAAGAGATGGGACAAAGATAAAAGAGACATTTACACAATCACATCTTAAGTTATCTAATGTTAGCAACACACTAGCTAGTCTACAGTAGCAACACACTAGCTAACACTATCTAGTCTACAGTAATTGTTAGTTAGCTAGTTAGCTTTAATTTTGCTAACATTAGTTATCTGATGTAACTAGCTAGCTAACAAATGTTGTTGATTACCGAGATAGTTAGCTAGTGTTTTGCTAACCTTAGTTTAATAAGAACGGGCTATGCTTTGTGTCCCTCCTGCAGCTCCGTCGTCTGTCCGCGGCCTCCAAGTGGCGCCCTCAGCCTCGCGTAGCCTTAACGTTTCCTGGCAGGTCGCTCCAGGCAGGATCGAACGCTTCAGGGTTCTGCTGGCAGACCAGGATGGGGTTCTGCTGAAGAACGTCACTCTACAAAACACTGTGACCTCCGTTCAGCTGGATAGCCTGCGGCCCGGAACCCCGTACACCGTCACTGTGGTAACAGAGGCTGTCGGCCTGCAGAGCTCCACCTCCAAACAGGCGGTCACAGGTAAATATTATGTGATGTTTTTAACATCACTTCCTCCAGTTCTGAAGAGTCTTACAGAAGAAGAAGATATTCAGTCTCCTATTCAAACAAGGATGGCCGCCAGATGTTTTGTTCTTGATGAAAATAAAGATAAATAAAATCATTAACAGAACGTGTCTCGTCCTCCACAGTCCCAGCAGTCGTATCAGATCTGAGGCTGGACCACAACGGCAGCTCAGACCGCCTGCAGGCCTCCTGGGTGTCCCCTAAAGGGGGTGTGGATTTTTACTCCATTACCCTGATGGCTCTGGGGTTGACCCTGCAGGAGCGCCGCCTGCCTCCCAACATCACCCATGTGGTCTTCGAGGGTCTGACCCCCGGTCGCAGCTACCAACTGAGTGTCAGGACCACATCTGGAGGGCAGAGCTCAGAGACCAGGACCAGCGGACAGACAGGTATCAGGCCAGGTTCCTTCAGGTTCACTTAGAAAATATCTTTGTGGACATCTAAACCGAAGGACTACAACTCCCAGGGTGCATTTCACCAACAGCCAATCACAAAACTTCACATTCTTCTGGATCAATATGGTGTTTTGAATGTGTGTTTGAAGGTGCGACTGCATAGCAACAGCAGCAGAGGTTTATGGGTATTGTAATATTTAGAGACATTAACTGACAAATAAATTAATTTTAGATTATTCAAACCTACAATGAATTTATTACAACTCTGTTTTAGATTTTTATAGCAGTAGTCATAGTTGTATGACTGAGGTACTGAAGTGTTCTACAGCTAATGTTTCGCTAGCATTAGCTAACTTGGGATGTGACTGTCTTTCCAACACAGATAGGACATAGCATATCCATGCACAGGAAAGGAGGAAGTTGCTTCAGATTCTGCTCAACTGTGATTGGAGCACAGAGAAGAAAGGGGAAGGGCTTGCCTCTATATAAACTACATAAACAAAGATGACCATCAGAGAGAAGATTGGATATTTCTATATAGTTATTCTTAATGTCAGATTTGTCTTCAAATCAATGAAACGAGGCAGTAGAAACATTACTGCCTTTGTCCACAGGGGCCGCCAGAATCAACATGCAGTGAAGGTTTCTGTTGCTTTAATTTGAGAAATATTATCATGTTTTCTGCAAAACTCTCTTTTCATTAAACAAAAGAAGCCAAAGTTGTCAAATGTTGTTAATTGTTATTAATCAGCAAATTATTATTTAAATCTTTCAGTACCAGAAGTCAGTTTAACTTTCAGTGATTGTTCCTGGTCTTGTCCTGTTTCAGTCCCTGAGCGGGTGTCGGATCTTGTCATGTTGCCGCTCAGCAATGGCAGGACACTGAGGGTGAGCTGGTCGCCCCCTAGAGGCCAGTGGGAGAACTACAGCATCCTGCTGAGGAACAGTTCTACGGTTCTGGTAAACCAGACCATCAGTAAAGTGAGCAGACAGCACACGTTCTCCATCCAAAGCCTTGGGCTGGTGCCAGGACGACTCTACGAGGCAGAGGTCACTGTTCACAGCAGCATTCTGGGTAACACAGCGCACTGCCACGGACGACTGGGTCAGTTAACATTTAAACCTTCTGTTATCTAACTCAAAGAGAATTCCAGTGTAGGTCAGTCACAGACAGAGTTTATTGTGACCATCATGCATTCAAAACATATTCAAATTAAAAAAATGTGATGTAAAAAAATTTACAGTTATAGTTAAAATAGCTCAAAGTTATGGATAAACAGATAGCAGACAGTCAGAATAGGTAGCTTAGCATTAAAGTAATAGACAGTTAAAGAATAGTTAGCATTAAAGTCATGGACATTATTTCTTCAAATGAAAATAAGAAAACAAAATAGAAACAATTTTTTATTATTAATAATTATCGTCCCTCCAGCACCTCGTCCCGTGCAGCAGATGGTTGTCCGTCACACTGATGAAACCACTCTGAGCGTCGTGTGGAATCGACCTGTCGGCGAATGGGACGGCTTCACTGTGGTCCTTGGACAGGCGGACCCTGCCACCATCGTGGCTCAGAGGACCCTCTCCTGGGATGCCAGAGAGTGCACCTTCAACATTCTCACCCCAGGACGCCTGTACAGCGTCATGGTGATGACCACCAGCGGCAACCTGACCAGCTCCACCTCTGTGACTGCACGGACCGGTTAGTCTGATTTATCTGCACTAATGTTTGTTCTCCAAAAGATGGAAAAAATTAGATATGTAGGATTATATTTTATGTATTATAAAATGGTCAACCAATAGAGATTATACCATAATAATAATAAGTTAAAGAATAGTTAGCTTAGCATTAAAGTAATGGACAGTTAAAGAATAATTAGCTCAGTATTAGTAGTAGTAGTATTAGTATTAGTATTAAAGCTTGCTGACAGTCTTGCTGTGATGCTCGGTGCAGAAACAAAGATGGAGTCAGTGGTCTCTGTGTCTGTGGTGGTTCCTCTCAGCTCCGGCTCCAGTCACCAGGCTGCAGGTCTCTAACGGGGCCAGCACCGACAGTCTACAGGCACGGTGGGAAAGAGCCTCCGGAGATCTGGACTCTTACCGAGTCCTGCTGGTCCATGATAGCAGCGTCATTAAGAACCAGAGCGTGGAGGCTGACACCACCAGCATCAGCTTTCTCGCCCTGAGACCCGGAGCTCTGTATCGGGTGGTGGTGACCACTGTCAGAGCCGGACAGATCTCCAGACAGACTGTCTCAGAGGGACGCACTGGTAAGATGATCTCCGTATGTTGTGAGTGCGTAATAACAGTTTGTCTAACATCTCCGTACATTATGAGCGCTTAATAACAGTTTGTTTAACACCCCCTAATGTTATGAGCACGTAATCACAGTTTGTTTAACATCTCCGTACATTATGAGCGCTTAATAACAGTTGTTTGACACCCCCTAATGTTAGGAGCACCTAATAACAGTTTGTCTAACATATCCGTATGTTATGAGCGCTTAATAACAGTTTGTCTAACATATCCGTATGTTATGAGCGCTTAATAACAGTTTGTTTGACACCCCCTAATGTTATGAGCGCGTAAAAACAGTTTGTTTAACATCTCCGTACGTTATGAGCGCGTGATCACAGTTTGTTTAACATCTCCATACGTTATGAGCGCTTAATAACAGTTTGTCGAACATATCCGTACGTTATGAGCGCGTAATAACAGTTTGTTTGACACCCGCTAATGTTATGAGCGCGTAATAACAGTTTGTTTAACATCTCCGTACGTTATGAGCACGTAATCAGTTTGTTTAACATCTACGTACGTTATGAGCGCGTAATCACAGTTTGTTTAACACCCCCTAATGTTATGAGCACGTAAAAACAGTTTGTTTAACATTTCTGTACGTTATGAGCGCGTAATAACAGTTTGTCTAACATCTCCGTATGTTATGAGCGTGTAAAAACAGTTTGTTTAACATCTCCGTACGTTATGAGCGCGTAATAACTGAGACATGCTGGCAGGACATTATTGAAAAGCAGGAATTTGTCAGGAATTTTCAGGAAGTGTCGACAACAACAACAAGCTCTCAAGGTCTGTGTGTCAGTGACTTCCTGTCAGGAGGAGGAAGTGCACACTTTACTGCTGCAGGGAAATATTTTATACCTCACTGAGGACGTTTAAAAGAGCAAAGAAATACAATTTGTAGGGTTTCTATCCTACAATCATGCTCCACTGTAAAAAGTTAAGAAAACTAATTTGAAGGCTGCTGTCTTCCCTTTAAATTTGTAAGTCAAACTCAAACTTCACTCACTCAGCAATACACTGATTATTGTAGGAACATTATATGGATGTCACCTTTAAAATTTGAAGCAATCTTTCACAAAACATTGTCTCTAATGTCACCTCCTGTCTCCTCCCTCAGTCCCGGCCGCAGTGGGGGAGGTGACGGTCAGTAACAACGGTCGGATGGACTTCCTCAGCGTGTCATGGCGTCCGGCTCCAGGTGAGGTGGACAGCTACCTGGTGACCCTGAGTGACCGCGACAAGACGCTCCACACAGTCTCTGTTTCTAAATCCAGCCCAGAGTGCGTCTTTAACTCTCTGGTGTCCGGACGTCTCTACAACATCTCCATCACGTCCCGCAGCGGCATCCACCAGAACCACACCTTCGTCCAGGAGAGAACACGTGAGTACACCAGCCCTCCAGGGTCCAACGTCAGTTAAAACAGTCTCACCTGAAGGTCCATTGGTAGCTGTTCTGAAACATTCAGTCATATCACATGGTCTTCATCAGCAGTAAAGACAATAAAAACTGTTACTACAACTTGTTGATCTGAATGATCGCTGCTGGAGATATTTTTATAGCTCTTTGTACTACACATTGCGACTATAGACCACCGCCCAGAAGAAGAAGCTGAAGTTTGGTGAGTCGTCATTTAAAATGGAGCTTCTGAAACTGTCTACCGTACAGAGACACTTACCGATCAACCCATAGCCCAATTAAATGTTTGATTTTTTAATATATATATATATAATAATGATTAGTAACTAAAATTAATCAGTAAGAAGCAGATCATACACTAATCAAAACATCCCTGTGAATATTATATTACAGTAATGTTACACACTGAGCTTTTAGATTGGGATCCAGAGCTTTATATGAAATTGTTGTTCACAATAATTAAACCTTTATTTTCTGTCTCAGAGCCGTCAAAAGTTCAGAACCCGACAGCAACTCACGCTGCCCGGGACGACTACCTGAAGGTGTACTGGCGTCATGCCGCCGGAGACTTCGACTTTTACCAGGTGTTCATCAAACACAACAACGTATTCCTGCAGAACAAGACAGTTCTGAAGACACAGAACGAGTGCGTGTTCAACGGCCTGGTGCCTGGCAGACTCTACACGGTGCTGGTCAGCACCTGGAGCGGGAAATACGAAACCAGCTCATCAACCCACGGCAGGACCTGTGAGTGACCTCTGACCCCTCTGATACACAAACACTGTAATGTTCTGGTGAAATAAAAATGTCTGGATAATGCAAAATTAGCAGCCAAATAACACAATCATGCACAACACAACAGGCACTACTGCCCACCAGACTCCATTGAAAAAAAACGCATTAATGACAGCAACATGGACAGAAACCCAAATAAAAAAACTCACCTAAACTGTTTCTGTTCATAGAGGTTTGGTTCTTAGTTTTTGGTGGAAATAAATCCTTAATTCACCAACGTAGATGTGACAATGTCCACGAAACGAGCTGCAATGGCTTTCATGTGTAGCATTTAGCTGCGTTCATATACAGGTATCTGTTTATAGAGATTACTCTATTGGTGAGACAAAAGACATGAAGAGCCCAACAAAAACTGCAATCCAACTGGGAATTCACCAATTAACTGCTGTCCATTTTAACCACAATGTTGACCTGATGATGGTGTAGGATGATCAAGGATGTAAGGATCCTCAGTTTGTGTTTGAGATCTGACCTCACTTTCATCTCCTGTCTGTCCTGCAGTGCCGGCGGCAGTTCGGTCCCTGGTTCTGGCTAGTCGGGGTACCGAGGATCTGCGGGTGACGTGGTTGGTGGCTCCTGGTGACGTGGATCACTACGAGGTGCAGCTGCTGTTCAACGACATGAAGGTGTTTCCTCCCGTCACTCTGGGCAGTGGTGTGGGAGAGTGCGTCCTGACATCGCTCACACCTGGACGGCTTTATAAGATCCTGGTGTCCACCTTCAGCGGGCCCAACCAGAAGGCCCAGTTCATAGAGGGCCGAACAGGTGAGCAGATGATATTGGAGATACTAAGTAAAACTTGTGCTCATGTGGTTCTTGCACAGGTGTAAAAGACTTTGTCTGTAAACAGAGTACAAACATTCGGCACATATTTGGCAAAAATATAGAAGGGAACTCTAGAGAGGGCACACTATCATGTTTTCAGATTATCAGTGGAAACAAGTGCTCCATGTATCTCTACAGCAGTGTAGTAGAGTCATTTGCTTTAAGAGCTGTGGTCTCTTCCCTCCTCAGTTCCCAGTAAAGTGAAGAACATCCACGTCAGTAACAGTGGAGACAGCAGCAGTCTGAAGGTGAGCTGGACTCCCAGTCAGGGCGATGTGGACGGATACTCGGTGTTCCTGTACAGAGAGAGTAGACAGCTGGACGTCCGGCCTGTCCTCAAACACCACAATGAGGTGACTTTTGGCTCCCTGCAGCCCGGACAGACGTACAGCGTGACGGTTCAGTCTGTCAGCGGAGAGCTGCTGAACAACAACACGGCCACCGGACGCACAGGTCGGGAAGTACTATGGATATATATCATATTATAGAGACTATACTACTGTTATATATTA